CTATAACTATGAATTACATATAAGGATTAAATGAGTAATAAAATGATTTAATGGAGATTTTTTTTAATATGATTGAATTGCTTGGGCAATTTCAACTTCACTTACACATTTAGTATGGACGTACACCGCTTTTTTATCAAACATTTTTTTCTGTTTTTCGTTATCAATTAAAGATTGAAAACACATGGAAATAAAAAAAAAAATATGAAGAATACGACTATAAAACATACGGAAATCGAACTTCATGCTTTTAACAAAAACGGACACGGTCGAGTTATTACACATTAGATTACAATTTTTTTGGCCTTGACAGGTAAGTAATGAAGATTAAAGGCAAAGAGTTATAAGCAACTAGTATATTGAAGTTAATGTTTTTAATTTTTTGAAAAAATAAAAGTTGGGAATTAGAAATTTTGACAAGTATATTTTTATTTGTAAACTTTTTTTTTAATATGACGATGGGTATCCATAATGTGATGTTATTTAGATGCGGCGACTACCAAATTGGCGCACTGTATATTTCTATACTTTTTAAAGTTTGTTTTTTACTTTGCATTAAAATTTTCAGGTCTGATTTGAAATAAATATAGCTTCCATCATTTCTAATATTGTTGTTGTACGTCGACTAGTAGCAATTTTACTGAAGTTGTGACATTACTTTTGAATCTCAATTGTTATCAATATTACATATAACATTGCCTATTGGAAGAAAGGTTCTTAACTTGATTAGAGAAAGGCAGTTTATAAATGTTAAGATCGTGGTATCTACAGCATATTATAATGATATTGAAGGTTTGTTAAATGTAACTAAAAATATCAAGGCATACCCACTAGATTAATCATAATTGTACGCTGAAGTTGTAAAAGTCTTCTGCCGTTACAAGCCATTTGAAGGAAATATTCGAGGGGATATATTACTATATTACATCTACTTTCCCGTAAATTGGTTGAATCTAATTCATTAAGAAACATTTGTTTAAAACACTATTACCCGCTGAATAATGAAGCCTTGCCCTCCAGCGTAGCAACACTCAACATTGCTTGGCGACAGGTGATACTCCTGACTGTGCAGAATTTATGTACGAAAGGTTCACTGTGTTGTGTATTTGTATGAAACAGTAAGTAAAATACAGTAAATATTGCATGTATTTAAATGTGATATTGAAAAATTTTTCCCCAAAAGAAAACCATTGTCAACCGATCCGCATATTGGATTGGGACTGTTGCAGGTGCGGATCTAGAAATTTTTCTTTAAGGGGAGGGGGAGTTTAAAGGGGGGGGGGGTTGAAGAGGAAAAGAGTTTTACATATACATACGTAGTTAAATAACCCTATAGGATGCAGGGTGGAGTCTGGTTTTTCAAAGAGGGAAGTTGATCAACCTGGGAAAAAAATACTTGTATGGATTAATCTGAAAGTTTAAAAAAAGAGGGAAAAATCTCCGAACCCGAAAATCCTATTTTGTAAAGGGGATGGGGTTTCATTTTGTTTTCTACAACCGAATTTCTTGATCACAACATTAATCTTTCACTGAACATTAAAAAATCATTGTTTACAGATTAAATCATAAAAATTCCTATGATGATGAAATTATCTTGTATCGGCATCTTCTTTCCGTCATATAGGGATGGACTTCCCTAGATATCTAGAATATAGCATTGAAAAAGATATTTACATTTCCAATGTTTTTGTCAGAGATAAATTTACAAATAGTAAAGTACTTTATTTCTACATAAAAGTACTGTTTCATCGATAGGGGTGTTTTGAAAAAAACAACGTGCAAATTGAGATAGAAGTGTTGCCTGTAAGGAAAGTTGGCGATTGTAGAGTTAAAGTCGTCGTGTTTATCACAGAGCTTGGTTGTTAGATAATCATTATCTTTTTTTTCAAATAAAATATCCAAATATGAAGCAGATTAACAGATCTAGACTCTGTGGTATTTTATCCCAAGCTCTCCGCGGGATATCGAAACGACATAAGAATGGAAATAACCATTGTAAATTGACAGTACGTCGTCGATTTATCTTAATGTCGAGGCCACAGCAAGTGTTTTCTTCTTTTCACCTATAAGATTTTGGACAAATTCTGCTTCATATGAATACAAAAATTAGTCTGCTCAAACGGGACGCAATTGGTATTCATTGGAAATCCAAAAGATTTTTGGAAGACCTGGTCTCCAAAACCACATAAATATTGTCAATCAGAAACTCAAGCATCTTTTGATGTAAACTTCAGAGTACTCGCGTGACAAATCAGGTTTCGAATTTATAATTGTCCTTAAAAGACCTGGTCTTTTACCAAATACGACCAGAAGGAAATCGCTCGGGTTCCGCACGTTTGTTACAACGCACTTTGAAAAATTTTTTCAAAGTGCGTTGTGGCAACGCACTTTGAAAAAATTACGCCCTTTGAAAAATTTTTTCAAAGTGCGTTAATTTTTGGGACCAGGTTAACGCACTTCGAAAAAAAATTTTTTTCAAAGTGCGTTAATATCGACCATATTAACGCACTTTGAAAAAAAAATTCTGCATGGCTTAGTCAATATTCCTACAAATCTCAGGTATGATAAATTATCATTTGAACCTGATTTGATACTTTTTGTCCCCCGCTTGAAAAGTGGGGGATATTAATTTGGGTCTATCTGTCCGTCCGTCCGTCTAGCTGTCCGTCCATCCATCTTTCTGTAACGCTTTCGTTTCCACACGATATCTCGACAACCCTTTGAGCTTTTGCAATGAAATTTAACATAACAGAATCCTTGTGGCCTTAGGAAGACCCCTTTTGAATTTGGGGTCAAAAGGTCAACATTCAAGGGCGTAAAGAACTACGAACGATAGTATTATTCTTCCGCCTATCTCTCAGTCAATTCTCAAAAGTTAACATATTGGAATGATTCTCAAAATTTTTATAGATATTTATATGAATTTGCATAATACTTTACTTATTTGGGATACCAAAGAGAGATAACTCTATAATTTTGGCAAAACTTGTGTTTTTCACTATAGAAATCAACGGAAAACTGAAAATATTTTTAAAACATCTCCCCCCCCCCCCCCGTGAAACAAAAACTCCTTATTTACAGGTAATATGGACTGTCATTTTACAAATTTATGCCAAAGCTTTTTGTGTTTCACGGGGGGGGGGGGGGGGGGAACATATGTTTATAAACAAAACACGAAAAAAATGCTTATTTTTCACCAATTTTAATGCTATTTAAAACTAAATAATTGTATTTTATTAATTTATATATGCTTTATTTATTTGCGTAAAACATGAGAAAAGATATTAGATATATGTTATCATATTTATGATTATTTCATAAAAAGTGCATCACTTGAAACTTCATCACTATTATATCCCATCATACGTTGCGAGGGGATAATACTGTTGTCTATTTCTAAAATATAAGTCTAATTCCTTTTGTTTCATGAAATTTTTTTCAAAGTGCGTTAAATGTTTACATGGTGTAAAATTATGATGTACAGTCTTAACGCACTTTGAAAAAATTTTTCAAAGTGCGTTGATTTGGTCCCAAATTCAACGCGCTTTGAAAAATTTTTTCAAAGTGCGTTAACCTGGTCCCAAAAATTAACGCACTTTGAAATTTTTTTTCAAAGTGCGTAATTTTTCAAAGTGCGTTGTAACAGTGCGTTAAATTCGGGACCAAATTAATACACTTTGAAAAAATTAATTTTCTTTTTAAAGTGCGTTAATATCGACCATATGTGTATGTGTATGGCTTTGTCAATATTCTTGCAAATCTTAGGTATGATGAATAATTGAATCCTTTTCGGTGATGCGGTCACTTCAGGATGTGAAAGTGAGCAATTTTGATTTTTTCATACTTTGAAAATTCTTTGTTTTTTAAATGTTTTACTGTAATTGATTTTTTCCAGTTTGCATGCAATTTATGAAAATTAATTTATTGAAAGTTTTCAACGTCATACCGACTATGGAAAAACATATTTTGGAGTGTAGCATAGGCATCAGTACCAGGAGGGGGGGGGGGGGGCTTAGGTACCCAAATATTTTGCAAAGATATACATAATATAGGCATTGAAAATTGGAGCTTGCCTTGGGGGGCACTTTCAATTTGCTGCCGACGACTATGTACGATATATATAAGAAAAAAGAGGTTGGCTGAGAGATCGTCTACTCTTCTTCTCCTTGTTCTTAATGAGGTTAAATAGGTACATTGAATTAAAAAGTTTTCCGATAGATATAATTATTGCAAATTTATTCTCTTTATTACTAAAATCTAAGTCTAATTTTTTTGTTTGATACATATTTTTTCAAAGTGCGTTAAATGTCCCCTTAGTAAAAAAAATGTTTATGCACACTTTTTATGCAAAAATTTTCAAAGTGCGTTAGGTGTGTCCAAAATTTAACGCACCTTGATTTTTTTTTCAAAGTACGTTGATCTTGTCCCAATTTTAACGCACTTTTCAAAATTTTCAAAGTGCATAATTTTTTCAAAGTGCGTTGCCACACACGTTACAATATTAACAGCAGGTTCCTAGTATACAGTGAGGGTATCCTTGGTATGCTTGCATTGTGCTTGCTTTCTCTGCATTTTGTCCTTGGATAGCTGCAGCTCTGTACTACCAGTGGGAATTTCGATTCGCGACCTTTACTTTCTTCTTCTCGAAAAATCATTTGGAACTTTTATATGAATTTAGTTGAGTCAATTTGTAAGAAATGATGAAATTAAAAGCTCATATAATTTAATTTTATAATTTATTTCTTTCTTCTAATAGTTTAATGCTATTAATGAAATATATAACATACACTTAACTTTAATTATTTCAGCTATATCAATATTAAAAATGTTTCACTCTTTTGCATAGTATTGTGGTTCTTCAAAGCACTCTTTTTGACTCGTTTTATCTATTCAATAAGAAAAGAATCAATTTAATTGAAGTATTCTTTTTTTCCTAATGGCAATTTCAACATCATAATAATAGAACAAACGAACAAGAATAATTATGTCGAGCCTTAAAAATTCATTTCTCATACAAGCATCTTCAACATTGTAAAATAGTTTCGTTAAAGCATTTCGAAGGACAGTTATAAATATGTCCAATATTGTTATGCACACATTGAACATAATATCTACAGTCTCTCGGATGTGTGAAAAACGCATTGATCCCGCTGCAAGGATTTGCTAAAATGAAAAATAAAAAATAAGTTAATAACATTGAAAATGATTCATCCCATATAACTTTATAATACTTTTATACAATAATGAAAGTTTGGGGTGTTTAACTAAACAGACAAGCATTTCAAATAATAGAAAAATATACATGTTAGGGCGTATATTAATGATAAGCCATGTTGAATATGTGCATAATTACTACGGAAAGCTGTGCCAAATAATGCTATTGACAGTGATATTGGCATAAATTAATCCCGACTCTGTTCATTAATATCGAATCATGGATAATGTATTCAATCGAGTGGATGAATTTAAGAAGAATTTTCTCTTGCATTTGCACTTACGTCTTTGGTTTATGTTATTAAAGGGGCCTAAACACAGATGCATTGTTTACTTTTAGAATTTTAATATTCTTAGAATTCACTGTCAACGCACGCTTTTTTAACATCACATCAAACGTCTATTTTGATAAATGGGATAGAGCTCTGTTATTGTTAATGTTTACGTTTTACGTGGTGTGTCCAAACTGTTATTACTAAGCACGGACTGACAATACTTGTCAGTTGATTTTGCTTACTCACACTGATTTTTACGTATTATTGTATTATACAAAAATTTTGTATTTTCCCCAACTATTAGGGATAAAGTTTCCCTCTTGAAACTGGACGGTCATGTGTCAATCAAACGCGTCCCAAAATTCATCGTATTAATAATTTGCAGATAAGGGACGTTGATTTCAGGCTAATTTATTTCGATGTAAAAAGCTAAAACAACACATGAATCATTATATAAGACTGAACATTTTAGAAAATATTAACTTCAAACGCGTGACGCAGTGGTTAGAGCGTCTGCTCTAGAGTTGTGAGGAGTCAATCCTGACATCGGAGGTTCGAATCTCACCGTAGGCCGTGGACATCGTTTCATCGGATAAGACCGTATAAACCCAGGTCCCGTGGCGCAGTAGGTGCTGGCATGAAAAAATATTCCCCAGTGCTCAGTTGCCCTACTAGTAGGTGCAATTGTGTATGATTTCAGGTCACATGTAATCATGTGGTGAAGGAAAAATACATATTATTAATTTTTCTATTCAAAGTATATATATATAATGAATAATCTTTAACAATTTGAAAACATCAGTTTTACTATTTTGAATGAATATACACGATATTTCTTGTACATATGTACAATTTCAAATGCTACATCAATGTTATCGAATTGAATTAACTACAAAATTTTACCAAATTTCTATTAGATAGTTACCTCTATAGATATATGAATAATTTAATCAACTTGACTGGCGTTGGAATAAAAAGAAGTCTCATCCGAAAATGTTAATTCTGTTAATTGATCTAATTACATGAACATGGGCATATTACGAGGACTACAGCAAGTCACCAACGAGACAGTACTGATTGAGCAGTTAATTCAATGAACATATTGTGCTAGTAAACAGCGTTGCACATGCCAGCTTGAGTGTTGTATTTGTATTCTTTAAGGATAAAAGTTTTTTTTTTTAAATTGAACATTTTTATTTACAGAATATAAAACTTGAACAAAGCAATTACCTGGAAGTGGAACTATTGGAACCTCGTTTGACATTGGAATGGGATCGCTGTCTTGCAAAGTCTTTGTATTTTTAGCAAGGCACCTCAAGTAGTGATCAGATAAATTATTTATTGTAAGGTCTATCGAAAAAGTAAGAACCAACTGATTATTACAATTCTCAAGACCAGAGGAGCCAAAACTTTGTGTTGTAGGAATGTATTTGCTAAAATTTCCTGATGTAGTATTTTTTATTTCCAACTCTAGGGTGCCCTTTGGGCTTCCAACAAAACCTTTGCAAGTGTGTATTGGTTGGTTTTTACCCAACTCCAACTTGTAGTCAATTGTCAGTTCTGGTGATAATGGTTTGGCTACAAAAAAATAAAAGAAAAAATATTGAAATGTACATTTTTATTAATGATAAATGTCCATAAACAAAAAATATTCCACTTACTCTTCATCAGTACAGATGCTGTGACAGTACTCGAGAGTATTCCCTCCATATATAGGTTAAACTCATATTCCACAGAGTCATTGCATTGCACATTGTTAATAAGAAATGATAACGCTGTTCCAGTTATTGTGCATTCAAATTTTGCGGAAGAACTGTCCTCAGCATACATTACTGTGGTATTTGCATAAATAGACAGTAAACTGTCCTTTATATTTGATATAGATATATAATCAAAGGAGGAGATGTTTAATACACAGGAAATCGTTGCTGTTTCTCCTTCATTTACGGATATCGATGTACAACTGAGATCTGAAAAATTAAATGATAATTTGATTAAAAGAAAACACTTTTATTTAGATCATTTCTAAAAAAACATTCACCTTTGATGTTTTAGAGGTCAGTGTTCGCTCTGCTCCTATTTTGTATTGTTTTATGAAAATTCTTTTTTTAATTACCTAATCACTCCTCTGGATCCTATCCAATTAATCATGACCATAACGATCTTACTTTGACATTTTGAATCTTTAATAATTTGCGGGTTTAAAATTATTCCAAACCTAATTATATGACTTTTGTAGTGCCCAAAATACCTCGACTTAAAACGATACACTTTTACCCTTCTTTAGGTATAATAGGCAGAAATATACTGTGTTTAGAATTGCAAGAGCTATTTTGCCCCTGAACAATGTTGTGGTTAACATAAGTTTTAAAAATACAATGAAGCTCAGTCCATTTGGCAACACTGTCAGTACAGAAAGGGAATAAGTGGACTTTTGCGAAAAGCACTGACTAAAACAACCTATGGTTTATATTTACACTTTTTAGCACAACAATTAATTATTCAATAATAATGGGCCATTTCAAAGCCAATATTGTTTATGAGAGGAACGGTAATAAATCTAACCCTCCCTTCCACCTTGACCAACTCCTGTCAAGTTTTCCTTCCAGAATAATTTGTTCCTTCATTTATCTTTTAAAGTTGTAGAAAATGAAAGTAAAAGGAGATACAATCTTTCATGATTAAGGTATTTTAAGGTATTTTAGTAATATTAGTTATCCAGGTCAGATCAAGGGTCTACGGGGAGGTCAAGGCAGATGGGTGACATGGAAATTTACACCCAACTTTGTAACCAATCAAAGCCCGTGTTACAAGCTACATTTACATAGGAAAAAATTGCCTCCAATCATCTCTTGCATTAGTAAATATAAACAGTGTCCCTAAAACTATAATTAAAACCACTATTAACGACCTATCTACACCAGTGGAAAATGTTTTTGGATGTTGAGAAAAAAAATTGATAAAGGTGTTTATAAAGAGCTTAATTATTTCATTTTTGGCTCACCTGAGCAAAAGGCTCAAGTGAGCTTTTCTGATCAAAATTCGGCCGTTGTCTGTTGTTGTCGTCGTCGTTGTAAACTTTTCACATTTTCGACTTCTTCTCAAGAACCACTGGGTCATTTTCAACCAAACTTGGCACAAAGTATCCTTAGGTGAAGGGAATTCAAGTTTGTTCAAATGAAGGGCCACGCCCTTATTCAAGGGGAGATCATTAAGAAATAATGAAAATTTGAAGGTATGTTTTAAAAATCTTCTTCTCAAGAATCATTGAGACAGGAATAATGAAACTCAGGTGAAATTATCCTAAGGTAGTGTAGATTCAAGTTAGGTCAAATCATGACCCCTGGGGCTAGGTTGGGGCCAAAATGGCCTATTAAAGATTTACATAAGAATATAAAGGAACAATCTTTAAAAATCTTCTCCTCAAGAACAAATGAGACAGGAAAGATGAAACTCATGTGAAATTATCCTCAGGTAGTGTAGATTCAATTTGTTCAAATCATGACCCCTGGGGGTAAGGTGGGGCCAAAATGGCCGACCAAAGTTTTACGTAGAAATATATAGGGAAACCTTTTAAAATCTTTTCAAGTACTTCAAAGCCATGATAAGTGATATTTATATGGAATCGTCCTCTGGTGGTGTAGATTCTAATTTGTTCAAATCATGATCCCCTGGGGGCTTAAATTCAGCCCCCCAACCTCAGTAAACATTCAGTTCTGATCTGATATGTGCTTTTTCCTAGCCAATGTGCTCAGGTGAGCGCTGTGGCCCCTGGGCCTCTTGTTACTATATGATACGTGGCATTTACCCCCAGGGAAATTAATAAAACAAAACACAGTCTAGGTGAATTGAAATCACTGTTGTTTACTTCCACAGAGAAAATACATGTATATATAAATAACATGTTCAAATAATTACAGTAATCTTGACCTTTTAAAAGCTATGATTGCTTGAATTGATTATAAATTGTGTAAAATACTGTGATATCTATTTTTGTTAGAATTTGGATCTAAGAACAGATCGTTCTCAATGCGGAAAAATACCATAGAATCTAAGTCTTTAGTGTAATGTGTATAGGTTTTTCAGCTAATTTTTCAAGTTGCACATACAGTAAAAAAACATTTTCATGAATAGATTTAAAGGTATATGCCTTTCTCAAAAAAGATTATACCTTAGGCATACATTGAATTTAATCGTTAAAATGTTTAATTATTAAATTGACTTGTGCAGTATTGTGTTCTAAGGAAGGTAACTCAACTAAGTGCCGTTATCGTTTATAGAAAAGACATATAGGCGTTTAATACACAAAAACATTGTTTTATACACAAAAGTGTTGACCAAAAGAAGGAGAATGTCTTCACTCTACCTGAAACAATGGGATCAAATAAATGAAGATCAGACTATATTCGACATTTTTAATTCTCTTTGACAATTGATATGATTGATTGATTAACTGCATATTATTTAACCTCACTCTCGAGAATTTTTCACTCATATGGAGACGCCACCACTTGCCGGGTGTGAGATGCAAATTTTGTCCTATACTAAGCACTCAAGGCCATTGAGCAAGGGGGGGGGGTGTCTTTTATGTGCCAGCACCTACTGCGACAAGGGCCTCAAATTATACGGTTTCATCCGAAGGACCAATCTCCACGTTCCATAGTGGGATTTGAGCCAGCGATGTAAGGATCGACTCCTTACTTCGCGACCCTAGAGCAAACGCTGTAATCATCGCGCCACGCGGGCGGCCGATTGTTATGAAGAAGAAAATACAGATACGAGGGTTGATCCAAAAGTAATGTCACAGTGTCCATATGTTATATATTTGGCGTCATATTATCAAATACAATATACCAAATAATGCACAATTTTAATATAATTGATATTGAAATTTTAATTTAATAATGTTTATTTCAATATATTTTATAGCAGTTTAAAACTTAGAGCATAGGGAGTGTCGCTGCGTCACAACGGAACGTCAAGTTTTAAAGTGTATTTTTTCTTAGAATGAAAAAGACAAACACATTAAAAAGATTCTTGAAAAAGCATATAATCTCCCAATTTTTTAAAGACGCAATTCTCGTCATTTTCTAGTCTTTAATTGAAAATTTAATGGCGGCATTGATATTTGTGATCATAAACATTGTTGTTTTACTCTGTTGAATTGAACAAAGGGATTGTCGAAATGGGGAAAAAAGGCTCAACGAGTTGTAATGCATTTCTGCCTCAAAACATGGGAATCATCACTAACAATATTTTCGTTAATCAATCAGACTAACAGAATAAAGAATTTAAATAAGAGACATCTTAATAGATTGTTTAAGCAATTTTAGGCGGGTTATTGGTCACTGGATGATTAGCAGAGGACAAGAAGACCGAAAGTTAGGAGACTGGACGGAAAAGTTCAATGGTGTCTGACGTTGTCAAAAAAAGACAGACAGATAGAGTGACCTGTGAATTTTTAAGGTTGTCTTGTGCTACTGTTCAAAAACTTTGACAGAGGGCTTAATTATGAAAAGAGTAAGTGCATAATGGTACCAAGAATTCTTTTAAAAAGTGGAATTGTTGAAAGTTTTTGCGAATCACAAATATTGTTTAATGAAACGAAGGGGAAACGATTAAATGTATGACGGTGTGTATCCATCATATGACGTTATATTTAGGTGCGGCGACTACCATAAACGCGCATTGTTAAAAATCCGATATTTTGAAAAGTATACATCATATTCCTTCACATTTTTCAGGTCTGATTTGAAATAAATAAAGCTTTCATCAGGTATAATTTTGCTGCTTTACGTCGATTTATAACAATTTTATTTAAGTTGTGTCATTACTTTTGGATCAACCCTCGTATAATGTCAAGTTTTATGTATGCATTTTGTGCTTCCTATATAAATAAATATAAATATTTCTACAAGAAAATAAAACAATTAATAATCTTATTTGTGTTACTAAGCACGAAGAATGAACGGGAATAAAATTTTAATCAGTTTAAAATTTAGAATTGGGTAGATATCACTTCATATTTAACTTTAAAAAAATAAGTAAACAGTGTCAAACTTCATGGTAAATAAATTAAACATAGATGGTAAATTTTAAAACCACATGATTCTACTGACATCAAAGAATCACTTGGGAAACGCTAAAAAATGATTACCTTTTTAACAATTAGATACATCGGACCTGGTCTAAACAAGTCCCAGGAATGAGTTATCGTTCAAACAGTGAACCCTAGCAGTAGCTGAAATGCCTACAGTATAGAGAGGGCTATAAATTCCGTACCTATATATATGACTACGATGGTCGATATGGACCGCGGCAAAAAGTTACCATGAGTTGTTATTGATTTGCCGGCAACTCTAAGATGCTGGCAAAAAGTAACTATGAGTTGAGTTTGATTTGCCGGTGTAACGACGAAAAGTGACCCCCATAGAATATTGACAAGGGGGTCATTTTTCTACGTAGAAAAATGACATAGGGTCAATATTCTACGACAAGTAGGGTCATTTTCGACTGTAGAAAAACATTCCAGACCAATAATTCTACGACTCCACTCACGTTGAAAAATGACCCCCATAGAATTTTGACCCCCTATTTTTATACTATAAAACCTTATATATGTATATATATGTCTCCTGATATTTTTTCATACTTTCAAGTGCAAGTCGGGGGCATTTTATGTACTTTAATCCTTTCCAACATATATTTGATTGCATAGCTTAATAATTATAGTAGCAACTATGTATCTAGAATGTATCTAGAATGGATTTATTCTTGGCCTGCAGAATCCCAATGAATATTTATTTACTGAGGAGCATAAATTTATTCTTATATTTTTGAGGTATTTTTTTATCATTCAAAGGTTTTGTTCCGAAAATGGCATGATATGTTTCTGATAACTAAAAGTTGTATTTTTTTTTTTTACAAATCCAAAAACATAGCGTAGAAACAAGAAAAGCAACGTTATTTA